AAGGAAGGAAGGAAGGAAGGAAGGAAGGAAGATAGAAAGAAAGAAAGAAAGAAAGAAATCAACTTAAAAATACTGTGAAAAATCAATCATGCATTTTCAAACTATGCTTCATGATCCCCCGTTCAACCAGTTTACGGACATCTTAAATGGGCACATAAGGAGACATGATCTCTTAAAGGAAGAAAGTAATTCGAACTACATGATGATATTCTGAATACTTTTAGGAAAAAAACTCCTGTGCCTCTTAAGCTGCGCTCACTCTATGCACACACCAGAAGCACCGAGAGCCCGGTGCTGTTCAGAAACGAAACGTGGCTTTCAAGGTTTGAACAGCTTCCCAAAGTGCTTCACTTTTAAGAAGGACTTTATGCGCGCAGAGAACCTGGCCCTGTGTTATATTTAGATATGGCGGCAGCCACTTGGGTCCTCTTGGGTGCGATGAGGAGACCATTCCAGGCACTGAGACAATTTTCGAACTGGGCCCATCTCGTCCTCAAAGAGCTAACCCGGTTTCCAGGGTCCGGTTGTGCCATCAGCGATCAGCTTACGCGAGCCTCGGACTCAGTCCGTGACTTTCAGGCGAAGAATTCCGTGGAAGCCTGGGTCATTATTATCCCCACACTCTGCATCAGAGGACGCCGACAGACAGTGGGGGTGGCGGGGGGGGGGGGTTGGCGAGCGCAGGCTGTCCTGGCTTCCGGGCACAACAACTGAAGAGGCTGAAAGCACAGGGCTGGGCCCTGCTTATCTCTAAATCACGCAACATCCTCCTAGAGCAGCCGGAGGACAATGACATGCTCTAGCACCTCAGCCTGGCGCAGCGACCCCTGCTCTTCCATCAGAAGGAACCCAAGACGCTTGCCCTGACACACGGTAGACCGGAATGGAGCCACAGGCTGTGCGTTTGGGGTCCGATGGCACCGCTTCCTCGCTGACTTTTCCAGAACGTGTTCTGAACACGCTATGGTTTCTCACTTACCCAAGTTTAGATTCAAGAGGTTTGGATAAGCATGAAATAAATCTCATTTGCAAAATCTGTGCTACAGTCTCCAGACCTTCTGTCTTTAGCAACAGCTAGGACTGATGACGGCGCACATCTCAACAGCTGGCGGACTGCACACCACAATGGTTGTTTTCCTTTATTTGGCAACCTGATGTGCTTTGCGTAAGAATGACACCAGCATGAAATTTACTTATTTGTTTACTTACTTATCATTTTTTAATGTAACGTTTTGACTTTTATTTCATTTTTATTTAAATTTTTTAGAGTTTGGTACACCTGGGTGGCTCAGTCGGTCGAGCCACCGACTTCGGCTCAGGTCATGATCTCACGGGTCGTGGGTTCAAGCTCTGCATCAGTCTCTGTGCTGACAGTTCAGAGCCTGGAGCCTGATTTGGGTTCTGTGTCTCCCTCTCTCTCTGCCTCTCCCCCGCTCTTGCTTTGTCTCTGTCTCTGTCTCTCTCTCACTCAAAAACAAGTAAACATTAATTTTTTAAAAAAATTTTAATGGTTATTTTTGAGTGAGTGAGAGAGAGAGACAGAGAGAGAGAGAGAGAGACACCATAAGTGGGGGAGGGGCAGAGAGAGACAGAGACAGAGACAGAGAGAGACAGAGAGAGAGACAGAATCCGAAGCCGGCTCCAGGCTCTGATATGTCAGCACAGAGCCCAACACGGGGCTCAAACCCACAATTGTGAGATCATGACCTGAGCCAAAGTCGGAGGCTTATCAGACTGAGCCGTCCAGGCGCCCCCGTTATTTTGGACCTTTAAGTTTGTATGTATGAACACATCCTTTACTCGTGTGTCAGCCCACTGCTCGGGGCTAATCTCTACAACTAATCTCTACAACTAATCTCTAAAGAATAGTGTAAAAGTCACCAATGTCTGAAAATATCAGAAATATTGGTTCTTATAAATGAAATTTAGCAAAATATCACAGTTCCATAGAATTTAAAAGACAAGATTGAGAAAAATTATATGGCTCTCTCTCTCTGTTCAGGCAACTGAAAACACAGCACTAGTAACTTGTGCCAAACCAGGATATAAAGCCACAATTTTTCCTGAGTGATTTAAATTTGCTGTGATGCCAGGAATCAGGCAGTGCTTTGCTCTTCCCCCTCTCAATACCAGAAAGCATAAAAATTAATAAAGAACCATACTTAATTTACTGAATGTTATAGAGTTAATTTTTTCACAATGATTAAGTTTATATGCAAGGATCCATTCTCCAGTATAATGGATACACAAGACAGAATTTTAATCTTCTTCTGAAAGATTATCCTACTGGAGATTCTTATCTTACTAGACTTAATAAATGAACAATAATTTAAAATACAAATAATACCAAGTGATAACGCAACTCCCACTAAACGTATTTCCTATATATATTATTGGTTAGCAGAAAATTAGTGGAAACAAACAGAAAAAATATAACAATGTTCATCCGTCTTGAGACATTATAATATCCTGAATAGTTACACCCAAACTCTTTCAGTCAAGAAGAAGGTAATTGTTAACAGAAAGCTTAATATTGCCCAGACATTAAGCTTAAAACATTAAACAAATATGCTTCCTTACATTTGAAAACATCTATCTTTTTGAAAACATTTGAAATCATGAAACTGATTTCATCTTGGAGACAAACGGAGGTATGTTTTCTCATGGAGAATTCACGTAGTATGATTGTGTGTTAGATTATCAAATTTATTATCAAACAGCTACCTCCGACCGCATTCCAGTGACAGAACACTCACAGGGAATTACTCTGTCACACACCCCAGTGACAGCTCTGTAGCTTAAAGCATCACTAGGTCACGACATCGCATTCTTGGGCTGTTCCAGAAGGCATCGAAGGGACCAAAGAGGCTTCCATTTGTAATTAAACCCCAGGCCGAATTTATTTCAGCTACAGATCCCAAACCTGGAGTTGGACTCAGGGCCCAGCAACTGCGAGCACTGGGAATGATCATCTGGAACTTGGTACTCCCCTACGCAAGGCGGCCAAGTGAACTCAGCCCTGGCCTCAGAGGGTAAAATTCAAGAGGAACAAATACACCCAGCAAATGCCGGTTTCTCTTTAAGTGAACTCCTCTGGGGGATCCAACCAAGAACTGTCATATTTCTCCTTTTCATCATCCATTTAAGTAAAACCTTTGGATGTACATGGGTCAGTAGGCCCGAGTTAAGGAAAAGTTTGTTCTTACCTATCAAAAGTTATTTTGATAGAGTGTCCGGGCTTGGCTTCGATGATCCATTCACAGTTCAGAGAATCTTTATAATATCCTGGCCATCCGGGAGGCAGAATGAGTCCACTGGAAGCTGTCAGGTGTCCACCACACGGGGCTGAAAGACAGTTCAGGATGTCGGCAGGTCAGATTAAACATGCGGGGGCACCACAGCCACACCTGTGATGGCAGGAATGTGCTTCTGTCTTCAAGGACTTAACGTTGTCAAGGATTCGAGCTAAAGGCATCCCCAGATAAATGAAGATTACTGAAAGCAGAGCAGGTACATCCCACACCTGGGCGTCTATCATCAACTCACAGCAAAGGTCCTTCTACCTAAAAACGTCAAGGTGGAAGTGGGGGATAAATTTGTCACATCTGATTTTCACGTCAGATCCATGAAATGCACACCATCGACATCCGTATCTTGTATGTATTTGTACTTCCACAAACATCTGTTGATTAGCAAACAAAAATAGTTCACATCTGAAACAGAATTACCCTGTGGGGTATGTGTGCACGTGTGCGTGTGCATATGTGCACGTGTGCGCCTGAGTGTGGGCGTGAGTACATGTGTGTGTGTGCGTGTGTGTGTGTGCAGACAGATACTATAGTTTAATGATGTGTGTGTGCTTATTCAGCTAGGGTGCGCTTGTTTTATTAAAATGACTTTCCACACACATCAAACTAAATTATTAGTGAATGTTAGGAAAACAAAATTTTCAAATTCGAGAAACATAGGATTAATCTACATCAGTCCTTTCATGTGATCCATAATTATCAAGAAGAAAAGGAGTCTCAGGAAGGCATGTGCTTGGTGCTCTGGAAAAGGGATTTTGCATTTCTGTATAATCTACAGGAATTTTTAAATAATAATATATACTTAACACGTTTCTGCCCAGTCGCACATTTTTTTCAGATTTTTCTTCTCAAAGTTCTTTGCCATATTTGTAATCAAATATGTCAATCTACAGATAGCAAAGGAAACATAAAAATGTCCCCGGTTAAAAAAATCATTTTTGAAAAAAAATATATCGGGGCGCCTGGGTGGCTCAGTCAGTTGAGCGTCTGACTTCGGCTCAGGTCATGATCTCGCGGTCCGTGAGTTCGAGCCCCGTGTCGGGCTCTGTGCCGACAGCTCAGAGCCTGGATGGAGCCTGCTTCAGATTCTGTGTCTCCCTCTCTCTCTGACCCTCCCCCGTTCATGCTCTGTCTCTCTCTGTCTCAAAAACTAAATAAGTATTAAAAAAAAAAAATTAAAAAAAAGAAATGTTTATAAAAAATAAATAAAAAAGAAAAAAAAATATATCTTGTATCAAAAAATAGCCATGTGCATTAAAATGCTTAAAAATTATATACAATTTCACCCAGGTGTTGATGGTGGAGAAAAACATCTGACAGAGAAATCTATAAAAGCAATCATGGTGGCTTCATTTATAATGGAATAACAAAAGAAAAAAAATAAACATGACAAGATTATGACTACATATCAGAACGTCACAAACACATTTGAGATAATGTTTTCAAATCCTGTTAATGTAAGAAAATCTCTGCAATGAAAATATTACATTTTGCAAATCAAGATATAAAATTATACGTGTATCATAATCTAATAAAAATTTTTAATAAAAAATTTGTTTAAAGAAGAGGAAAAATTTAATTAAAAATTTGTTTAAGAAAAAAATTCAAAAATATGTTAATGGCAGATAACACTGGTGACTGCTGTGGGGATCATGTTTTTCTTGGTATAGTTTTCTTTCAAAATAAGCTGTGAGATGTGTGCGTTTTTTGTATAGTTAGAAGTTAATAACAAGAAATCAGTCATTTTTATGAACTTGAGTTATTAAAGAAAATCGTCATTATGTAATCATAATTTTAAAAACAACCTATCTTTACCAATTAACATTAGGATTTTGTTCTAGTTAAGTCCTTAACTTCATATTTTTAGCCTGTATTCCTATGCTTCCTGACATGTTACAGCAAATACTTTTTAGAAAAGATAAAGGCAAAATTAAACAATTTTACTTCTTTCATGTGTAATTATCCAAAGATACTATATAAGAAAGACATGCAGCGATTATAGATTTTTTTAAAAGTTTGATACATGAGATCTTTTTAAATCTGTGTGGTGACTTATTTTACATCTATAAGGCTTATTTCCCACCTAAATGCAAAACTGTATGTTTCCTTCACTTTACTAAAGTTTAAAAAAAAAAAACTGAGTTGTTGGGGCACCTGGGTGGATCAGTCAGTTAAGCATCTGACTTCAGCTCAGGTCACGATCAGGTCATGAGCCTGCTTTGGATTCTGTGTCTCCCTCTCTCTCTCTGCCCCTCCGCCACTTGTGCTCTGTCTGTCTCTCTGTCTCAAAATAAACATTTAAAAAAATAAATAAAACTTTGAGTTGTTATATTTCTTGGAAGGAAGGTGCTCACACTGTCACACGTTGCTATTATTTCATTAATATCTTGTGTTTTACATATCACTTTACATTTACAGTATATGTTAGAAGAATCTGTATCACTTTACCCTGATGAAATAGATATTTTGATCTGTATATTGTAGATCAACAAAATTAAAGAGGTAATTGTTAAACGATAAAGTCAAGTTTGCCGTATTAGCCAACTCTGATTATGACATACTAGGCCACCAACCCCACAGTTATATTAGCTGTGACAAGAGAGATCTATTTCTCACACAGGCCACCTGTCTAGGGGATCCTTTCTTGAATGAGCTAAGGCACCGAGGTCTTGTAGGGGGCAAAGGCTCAGGGTCACTCACTGTGTATGTCACTTCCACTCACTCCTAACAGGCCACGACATGCTACAGGTTTCACCAAACCCCACTGAGGCCAAGAAAACCAACCGATTTGGCGGAGATTCTGTTTATCTGGTGAACAGCGCTAATGACTTTCGTATTCACAGAGGTGATAACAGAAAAGCAAATATGTGAACGAGGTCTTCAGAATGTACATTCTTTGATTTATTATTGAGTGTTTGTGCCCTTCGCGACAGCATTATGTTTTTCTATCTGGCTGGGGTATATTCCGTGAATGCTGGCTCTACGAAATATTATGTGGGAGTCGGTGCATATTTTACAGCAGCTGTGATAGTGTTCCCAACACAAAACTTCTATGAACTTGGAAGACAGACACCTTCCTTCTGCACCTCTCTGGTGCTCGTGTCTTTTTCAACGTCCAACCTTTAAACTTTTTTTCAAACCTGTTTTTATGGTATTTTGTTTATTTACATTTTTCACTTTTTGGGGGGTCACTTCGGATAATTTATACTTTGCTAGGGAATCACCAATTTCATTGAATGTTAAAATTTATTGCCATAGAGTTGATGATGTATTCTTGTACACTTATTTTCCCCCAAAATTAGCTTGTGTTTTTTAATTTTTTTTAAATGTTTATTTATTTTTGAGAGAAAGAGAGACAATGTGCACAAGCTGGGGAGGGGCAAACAGAGAGAGGGAGTCAGAGGATCTATGCTAACGGCACAGAGCCCAATGCAGGGCTTGGACTCATGAACCGTGAGATCATGACATGAGCTCAAACTGGATGCTCACCTGACCAAGCCTCCCAGGTGCCCAGGTTGTGTTTTCAATGACAGTGAACTGTACTGAAATATATGGGCAGGTTAGAGGCAGAACAAATAAACAGATAAATCTTTCATCCAGACCACAAACAATTTATACCCATGATTTATTGGTACCCAGCAAACTCTGCCAGAATAAATAAACATAATTTTTAAAGAACTTGCTCTATTGTGAGGCTTTCACTCTTTATGTAGAGTTATTGTTGGTAACAATAAATTATTTTATTATGTCAAATTATTATTTTTGTAATCATGGTTATTTTTCTTCTATTTTGCTAAAATACCTATAATTGTCTTTTCTCCTAATTTTCTTATCAGAATCATAGAAGGTTTGTCTATTTTATTGATACTAACAAAGACTCACTTTTGCATTATTCTAACATTTGATTTTTATTGATATGATATTCTAAGTCATTATTTTTTTCTAATTTGTTAATTTTAGCAATCAATTTCTTCACTTTTTGTCTTTTTGTTCAACACTGGGGCATCTGCCTCCTAGCACAGGCTCTCTGTCTCACATTATCTTAATAGAGAGGGTTCCCTCTGACAGGGTTTCTGGGTATCATATGCCTTAAGACTTGAGGCTTTCCCACATAATTTCTCTAAAGTATTTGCCTGTGCTTCTATTCGTGTAATATGCTTACATTGTAATTGGCATATAATCAGTGCATGTGGCCTGGACTTAGAGCAATTTGTTAAGGTTCACGTTATAATCAATTATATAATTGATTATAAAAAGTAATCCTTGAGAGAAACAATAAATGTGTATATTCTCAAAGGAACATCATGTTCCTTCTAAGTCTTTTCAAATGTGTTTGTGTTACTAAATCCTTTTTGCTTTTTTTATTTAAAAAAATATTAAAAAAAA